GCACCTGGTGACGTGTCCCCACACCCGACCCGCCTTGCCGTCCCCATCCCCGAGGAGCTGTGAGGGCTTTTGAACCCGATTAATTAAAACCTGGTTAATTAAAACCCGTGATCGCCTCCAAAAATGAGTACCCAGTGGCACCCAGGCTCAGGAGTGTCCCTGTGAGTGTCACTGTGACAGGGGCACGGGGCCAGCACGGCACAGTGGGGTGGGCATTGCTGGCTGAGGCATGGGAAGACACTGCCAGCATCCTCCCTACGTCTATGAGCATCATCCCAGTATCCTTCCAGTGTCACCCCGGTATCCTCCCATCATCTCTCCTCATCATCCTGGCATCCTCCCAAAAAATCCCAGTATCCTCCTAGCAACTTCCCAGCATCCTCCCACTATTCTCCCAACATCGTGCTGGCATCCTCCCAGTATACTCCAAGCACCCTCCCAGCATCATCTGCACATCTTCCTAGCATCCCCCAAATATCTTCCCAGCATCATCCCTGAATCCTCCCAACATCTCCCAGTATCTTCCCAGTATACTCTGAGCATCTTCCAAGCATTATCCCAGCATTATCCCAGTATCCTCCCAGCACCTCCCAGGATCCTGCCAGCATCTCCCAGCACCCCCGCGGCCCCGTGCTGGATCCTTCTGGGTCCCAGCACTGCCCAGCCTCCTGCAGAGCAGCGTGGGACCGGTGGCTCTGAGCAATCCAGCCTTCACCGTGTTCCCTGTCTTCTAGACCTTTGATTTCGGGGCCGTCTAGACAGGAGCAGATATCAAAGCAGGGAAGCTGAGTGCATTTGTGAGAGGAACCTGGAGATAGTGCACCCTCTGCTCTTCCAGAGCCAGCGTCAGAAGCTTCCCGGCTCACAAACTAATGAGCAGCTTCCCTAATGACATCCGGAATCACTGCCTGAGCCCTGAGCAAAGAGCTGGGAGCCTGGGGCTTGGTTCTTCCTGCAGAAAATGGGGTTTGGAGCCCGGGCGATGTTCTGCTGGGTGGGCAATGCTGGGATTCCTGGGGACATGAGGTGTAGGGTGTGAGGTGCTTTGGGAAAGGAGCCTGAGCCTCACCATGGCAGGAGGAAGGGGCCCAGAGGCAGTGGGATGGGTGGAAAGGCTGCGTTACAGGGAGAGGCTGAGGAAGCTGGGTGTCTTTAGCCTGGAGGAGACCGAGGGGTGACATTATTGATGTTTATAAATATGTAAAGGGTGAGTGTCAGGAGGATGGAGCCAGGCTCTTCTCTGTGACACCTAATGGTAGGATAAGGGGCAGTGGGTGCAAGCTGCAATATAGGGGGTTCTGCTTAAATATGAGAAGAAACGTTTTCATGGTGAGCGTGACGGAGCACTGGGACAGGCTGCCCAGGGGGGTTGTAGAGTCTCCTTCTCTGGAGACATCCCAAACCCGCCTGGATGTGTTCCTGTGTGACCTGATCGAGGTGCTCCTGCTGCAGCAGGGAAATTGCACCAGGTGATCTTTCAAGGTCTCTCCCAGTCCCCAGTGTTCTGTGATTCTGTGGTGGAGCCCTGGCACGGGATGCCCAAGGCTGTGGGGTCTCTTCCTTGGAGAGCTTCAAACCCAGCTGGATGTGGTCCTGGGCACCTGCTTGAGCTGGGCTTGGACCAGGAGGGGCCAGAGGGGTCCCAGCTTCAGCCACCCCGTGGTTTGGGGATTCCGTGACTCTGCCAAGCCCAGGAGGGTGGTGGGAGGTTTGTGATGGGTTTGGGGACCATGAGCTCTGGATGAGTGCCCATGGTCACAAGGGGGACCCAGGTACCCAGGACAGGCGTGTGGGCATGGCGAGGATGTGGGCAGCATCACAGCACTGATGTCTCAGTGCACACGTTTGTGCCTTGTGTGGCTCAGGGACACCCCACATTTGTCACAGCCCCATGGGCAACATGAAGTCTTCTTCGACCCCTTGTGGATCCAGGGGGTGACCTGAGCCCCAGGCAGCCTGATGTGAGCACCAGCAGGCATCCTGGTGGGCAGTGCGGAGCTGGGAGCAGAGCCCAGGGCAGCAGCAAAGCCGGGCTGCACTGCAGGCCCCTGGCACCCCCCAGCCCCCAGCATCACACCCCGCAGCCCCTCTCCCATTGATTCCTCTTGTTTGGCTGCTCCCTCCTGTGCTTCGTAAATGTCAACTTTTTCTTTTTTTTTTTTCCCCATACAAAGAAATTTTGTGGTAATGACTCTTTGTGCCGCTTTTAAATCCCCAATTACATAAGGAGCAGCAGTACAAAGCCATTCCCTTCGGTGGAAATCTCCGCGTAATCCCTTTTCCAGAGAAGCAGCCCGCCAGTGACACGCTTCTAACTCTTTGTTTGTTCTTTTGGATCAAATCTAACTGATTGCCGTGACTAATTAACTTTCCCTTTCTTCGGGCCTCTGTTGTCTTAATTAATTTCACAAATACTTCCTTCCCAGCTCCCAGCTCGGCGGTGCAGATCACCAGCGAGGAGCTGAGCGACACGGCGGCCACGCTGGGCCTGGGGACACGGCCACCCGCTGCTGCAGGGACACTCGGCATCCTCTGTCCCATACCCAGGGTCCCCAGTGCCCACGAGGGGAGAAACCGAGCCCATGAGCAGCAGAGTGTGCTGGCATTCGGCTGCTCATGGGATGTTTGGCAGGACTGTCCCCGTCCCCTTATTGGGAATGACCACCCTTGGGGCCGCAGCCTGGAGGTATGCTGGGGATGTGTGGCCACCATGTCCCTGTGGAGGGGGTTCGGGGGTTCGGAGCATCCCACCAGGTGGCAGGAGGTGTCAGGGGCATCCTGGCGGAGCTTCAGCATCCTAAAATCAACAGCAAGGGGGCTGGGGGGACTCTTGCTGCACTGTAGGGGTGACCCTGTTTGCCAACAAGGCCCTCGGCAGCACATGAAAGAGCTGGAGCTGGGGGTGTGGGGGCACAAATCGCCCCATGGGGCTGGGGTCCCTGATGGGACAGAGCAAGGCGTTCCCAGAGCAGGGGCTGTCCAGGCCCAAAGATGTCCAGGCCATCAGCTCCTTTGCAGAGGGTGCACTGAAATCCATCTGCAATGGAGCAGAGGCATCACTGCCGCGTTTCCTTCCGGGCCAGACAGCTTGGCAAATGTGGGCGTGCAGTCACCAGCCACACCATCAAACCCCGCTGGGGCAGCACCCTGTGAGACCCGCTCGTAGGGAGCTCGCCCCTCCCTCTGTGGAGCTCCAAAGCCTGCATCGCTGTCTGAAGGGCACCTGGCCTCCAGGGACAGACGTTTGGTCTACGCTGCTGGCCAACGGGGGGCAGAGCTTCAGACGAAAGGGCGAGGGACATGTTTGAAAAGATTTGGTCTCCCTTTTATAGAAACCTTTGATTAAAGCCCAGCAGCTGGGATTGAGCTGGCGCTCATCGCTCCGACCTCCCACCCCCTCCTCCTTCTTCATCTCCCTCTCTTTGGGTTTCTTTCTTTCTTTTTTTTTTTTCTTCCATCTTTTTTTTTTTTCCTTTACATGGGAAGGGAGCAGATCGATAAATAAATAAACCAACGCAAACATTAGCTCTGCAGTGAGGAGGCTCCTAGAAGTTCATCAGCAACAACTCCGGCTCCCGGTGTGTGTGCAGGCAGGGAGAAGGGATGCCATCTGCACCCTAGCCCTAAGCCTAACCTGACCCTAACCTGAACCCTAACCCCAACCCTAACCCGAACCCCAGTCCTGCAGGCACCAGTCCCGCAGTGCAGCAGTGTTGCTGGAGGCCTTGCTCAGTGCCTTGAAGATGTTGACGTGAGAGGGACACCGGTCAAGAGAGAGGAAGGCTCCTCTTGTGGGATTAAACGCCCTTGTCATGAGCCCATCAAAACACGGCATTATTTTGAAGGGACAAATCGTGCCGAGGAGATTACAGCAGATTAAGCCTGCAATTCCTGAGCTGTTTGGCAGATCAAACCGCCGCAGGTGGCAGCAGCCTTGCAGGAGAGCTGCTGGGTGAGCGCCAGGTCCCAGACAAGTTGTCCCTGGGAGGGCACAGAGCCGCCATCCCCCCGGGGACCCACACCTTTCATTTGCCCTGCAAGGGAGCAACACCCTGCAGCCACTCTCAAAGCTTCTCCAGAGGATGGGTGAGCTCAAAACCCAGCATTTTTCCAAGGATTTGCCAAGGATGCACCCCTGCAGCCATGCCCAGGCTCGAGCACACACAGCACCATGAAACTGCCCAGAAAAGACCACCAGGCATGTTCCCGAGGCTGGGCATGGCCCTGTGCACCTCAGGCCAGGGCAGGGTCCCCAGGGGAGGGAGATGGGACCACAAAACGGATGCCCAGCCCATGGCCCCCTCCATTCCCTTCCTGGAGGAGCCAGGAGCCAGGGGAAGGCAGACAGGAGCCTCCTGCCCTGGCTGTGCTGCAGCACTGCCACGGACAGGCTCTGATCACAACAGGCTGGAGGATGGAGCATCCCTCCCAGTGGGAAATCCTCAGCAGGGCACTGAGAATCATCTAGGTTGGAAAAACTATCAAGATCATGAAGGCCATGGTGGTGGTGATGAAGAAAGATGGGGCAGGGACTTGTGGCCTGGGGTGAGGTGGAAATAGGGGTTCTCCTCGCCACTGAAGCACCAAACCAGCTCCTCTCCAGGTGTAGATGTCAACAGGAGCTTGGCTTGGATCTGCTCTGTAGGATTAAATAAATAGGGCAGCTTGAAAGAAAGCTATAATAGCCACTAACAGTCTTCCATGAGGATTTTTCCAGCCCAGCTTAGGTGAGTGCAAGGCAAGAGGCAGTGCCCTGCGTCAGCCCTGAAACGCTGGGGCAGCAGCACGGGCAGGGGGTTGGTGATGGAGACGGCTTCATCCAAGCTGGCTGCTCCTCTGGGAACCCCCCAGCCTGCACCAGGGGAGGCCCAGAGCGGGCCTCAGGCAGAATTTGGTCCCACAGAGGGTGACCAAGCACTGGGACAGGCTGCCCGGGGCACTGGTGGGGTCCCCACCCTGGAGGTGTGTAAGGGACGTGGGGACGTGGTGCCTAGGGACACAGCTCAGTGGGGGCACTTGGTGTGACCAGGTGCCTGGTCACTTCTCCTGGGCTAACTTTCCACCAGCAGCATTGCAGAACTGGCACATCCCTCCCGTCCCCTCCCAGGCCACACACAAAATGTGCTGGGAGGCCAAAAAGTGTGACACTGATGGGGACAGCTCTTCTGCAGCCCCCCTGGGCTACACCAGCATTCAGGGGGCACCTATCCTTGTCCTCTGCCCCACAGACACATCACTCCTGGAGAAAGGAGAGGGTGTAAACATCCCCGGCCTCCTAACCCTCCGATACAGGCAAGGATTCGACCCATTTCTATCAGCAGCTACAAAAATGTATGAGACCTGAGATGTGCAGGCTACGTGTAACCAGATTACAAAGCATTCTTCCATTTTCCACACTCCAACAACGAGAGGGATTTCATGCTGACAGAAGATGCCGTCCGTGGTGCAAACATCTTATCCGCGCCCGGGAAATGAGGATGTGGAACCTGGAAATGAGAAAGCTGCCCATTAGGCTAATGTGGCATTAATGCTCCGTGTGGCGCAGACGGGGGAGCCCGCGGGGAGCCCCTGAGCGAGCAGCGGGGCCAGGGCAGGCACAGCCACCACAGGAGCCACCAGCCCGGGGCCACTCCTGGCAGGGACAGCATCGCTCCCATGCTGGGGGTGCCCGTGCCACCCCCCGAAACCTGCTCTCCTTTGCAGAATTGCTGTCACAGCAGTAAATAAAATGCTATTGCCCTATTACAGTCAGGATATCGCTCTAAATTGACTGTTTTATAGTCTCGGGTAATTTAATTTTTTTATTTAGTGAATGGCTTGCCATATGCCCACGGAGCACGCGGCACAGCCACAGCACGGATCGTCTCCGAGCTGTGCCGGGTCTCCTCTGTGCTCACCTCGGGGGGAGAGGGGATGCCACGGTGGTGCTCACCCATGTCCTGCACCTCCGACGCGGGGCAGAGGCTGGATTTTGGTCTGGGCAAGGATTTTCCATCAATATTTTGCTCCGAAAATGTCAGATGTGGCAGACCCTGTGCCGTGCCTCGCTCAGCCCCACGGGACTCTCCCTCCTGGTGGCTCGCAGCCCGATTCGGATCATTTTCTCCCAAATGGCGCAGCTGTGTTCTTCCAGCGTCTGCCTGCCCGCGGGCTCAGCGGGACCCGCTCGTGTGTCCGCTCTCCTCCTTGGCATTTGGATCTCTTCTCCAATTCAGTTTCATCTGCAAATTTCAGGAAGGTGTTGTTAAGGAGAGCTGTGCATCTTGCTCGTTGCAGCGAGCACTGGTTGGTAATACAGCTCTTGCTTCTGTTTTTAAATCATTTTTCCCTAGCTTTCTGCAAAAAACTCCTGATTATTTTTCTGATTATTTTTCAGCTAAACTGTGAGAGCACATTTCATATGTCACTAGCCATAGCGCACGTTATGTCAGCAGTCAGTTCAGGAGTGATTCGGCTTTGTTCTGTCATGGGATGCTTCAAGACCCGGCCTAGAAAGGTCCCCTGAGACCCATCAGCCACTGAAGGCATTGCAGGACATCTCACACAAAGCGGTGTCTCTCTATTTGATGCCTCAGCCCGTGTCCCCTGTGCCAGCAGGCAAGATGTGGCACCTCCCAGAGCTTCTCTGCAAATGCTCAGTGGTCCTGGTGCCCCTATCCCTGCGCAGGGCTCCATGGAGACATCCCCACTTGCCTGTCTATGGGGCATCTCCTGGGTCAGAGAAGAAGGAGTGATGGGTAAAACCATTGCCCTAAAGCTCTGAGACCTTTGGACCTGAAACCATTTGCACAAGGACCCTGCAGGCCGTGCGAAACAACCCCAGGAAAATATTGCTTTCACCCTGGAAAGTACCTGCACGTCCCTGGTAGTTGGTTCTTCTGTTTACTCTCTCTGCCAAGATTATTAACGAAGGTGTTAAACAAGCAAACCTCACACTGGTCCCTGTGGTTCCCCCACGCTTCCTGTTGTAATATTTTATAATTGTCCTCTGCCCTCTGCTTCGAGGATTGTCGGATGCCTTGCCAACACTGAGGGACCAGCAAGTCCATCAGCAAAGACTTCCCAGAGAAGGCACAGACTGCACTGCTGCAAGGATTCCCACCCTGGGGGCGGAGTCCCTGACGTGGCCGTGGCTTTGCCGGGCAGGATGAGCATCCTGTGTGCATCCCCACCTTTGCAGCTGTCTGGAGAAAAGCACAGCCTTGGATCGTTGCTGTCTGCAGGACGGTGTCCATGTGGCAGCTTTGGATCCTTGCTGAGCATTCACCACATCACCACGTCCTGTAGACCAGCCCTACCTCTGCCCTTCCCCATGTATCCACATGGGACACAGGGAGGTGGTGCCACAAGGAGCAGGGAAAGGAGGAGAGAAGGTGGCCCTGTCCTGAAGGAAGTTCTGTACAGTGCTCGGGGGCACAGAAGGATCGAGTGTGGGGTCCTCTGGCTGTGGGGAAGCACCAGAAGCCTGGGAGGTGAGCCCAACTGCAGCCCCACAGCATGGTCCCCAGCTTTTAGGACCCTTCCAAATGGGAAGGAGAGCTGGTGGCTTCCCACCCAGAGAGGCAGCAGCTCTGTGCAAGCATCCCTGGCTCCAGCAATCACCCGTGACCTGGGACAAAGAATGGGGACACCAGGATGCTATTGCTCCCCGCTCCTGGTGGGCTGGGGACCTCCATCAGGTCTCCACCATCGCTGATCTCCTGCTGGCTTTGTCCTCCCATCTCCCTCAGGCCACCACGGGATGTTGCTGAGCACCCAGAATGTTCTCGAGAGGGGAGGAAGGAGCTCTGCCCCCTGGGACGCAGCACCCACCCCTCCGCAGAGTGCCAGGGCACTGCCGGGAAGCTGCAGCCAGCTCCGGGCTCATTAATGTGGAGAGCATGCGTGCCCTGCTCCCCGCGCATCGATCTGATAAATGAAGAGCCGCCGATGGTATTTTCTACCCTTTTAAGTGTTAAAATAACATTTTAGTGAAATATGAGCAGGTCAGAGCTGAGCTGCCCCCTTTCATCTCGCAGCGTGCAGGCAGGCTGGCTCGGGGAGGGGTGCCATGGACATGTGCGCAGGCGTGCGGACACATCTGGGGGGAGGTCCCCAGGCCCCCGGGCAGCTGCAGATGTGTCTGTGCCCAGGCAGTGCCCCCATGCTTGGGGGGAGGATGGGCAGTGAGCGTGGGTGTGCAGGTGCTGGTGGCCGCAGCCAGGACCCTGCCGTAGGTTGTGCCCGGCTGTGGGCTGTGCCCGTGTCCTCCTGAAAAGCCTTTACAGGCACAAAGCTGCTGCCACTTGATTTGGCAAGCTGAGGATGTGCCATGAACCTTTCTGGGTCTTCTCTTTGTGATTTCTTTGTGGAAATGCAGGGGCTTGTGTTGGGATGAGGGAAGATGAAACGGCACCGTCCTTGTGCTCGGCTCCTCCAAAGGGCTCAGAGCAGCCCCTGTGTGCCCAGCCTGCGGCCACCGCAGGAAATGAGGGCAACCCAACCCCATATGAAAGATGCAGGTTTTCAGCCTAGGTACACTAACCTTTAAGATGGATTGGACTGGGAAAAGAAAAAAAAAAAAGAAAAAAAAAGAAAAAAAAAAAGAAAAAAAAAGGAAATGCTCACTGGACTGTAAAACGATATGCTGAAAATTGGAGTACTTTGCTGACAGCTGTTCTTGGTGGAGCCCGATATGTCAAGGAAAGAAGTGGTGGTGGGAGCATGGTTGGCAGCTCTCGGGGGACCTGGGGGCATCGGCTGCACCTCCTCCTGCAGGGCTGAGGGCGTCTCCACACCTTGTGTGCGGGCAGCCCAGGGCCTGGATGGAGCTGCCTGGTGCGTCCTCACCTCATCCATCTCCTGCATCCTTCCCCCTCTCATCACCTGCATCTTCATCTTGTTCATCCCATGCATCCTTCCTTTGTCCATCCCCTGTATCCTCTGCCCATCCCATGCATCCTTCCCCTGCCCGTCTCCCCTCGCAGCCCTTTGGTTTCTTGTCCCTCTCCTGCTGCCGTGGCACAGCTCTTTGCCTGGCTTTGCATCCCCTCTCCGTTCAGCCAAGCCGAGCTCACCGTGGGCCCCGGCCCCCCTTCTCACCCTGTTGCCCGATGTCTCTTCCTTCACCGCATCTCTGGAGTGTGATTGCTCCGCGCCCTGGGTGAGAGCAAGAGAAATATGTGCTGAGATGACATTTCGGTTATACATGATGCTATTAAAATATGATAAGAACGCTATTAACATTAATAATCCTTTTCATTGTATCATTTAGGGAGCAAAACAAGCCATTAAATATTACGGAGTCATTGGTGCTTTGATGGCTTCAGGGAGGGGAACATTTGGCCGTGTTTGTCTACATGCACTCTGGAAACGTAACATTATCTCTGGGAAATGGGCTTCTCTGGGCCAGCCGCCTCCCTGCGGCTTGGTGGACACGAGCCAGCCCCTGATGCAGGCAGAGGAGCGGGGTGGGGAGGCACCGGGGGTCTCTGTGTGGCTAGTGCTTGCCCCACACTGGCTACCTGCAGGTTGAAGCCTGGCAGCCAGATCCGGTGACAGCACAGTCCCCTTTCTGCACAGCCATCTGCTGGTGGCTCCCAGGCTCCTCGCCCTTCTTTTTTAGCTGGGAAACCAAGTTTGGGCTGTCTAATGCCCAAATCTCCAGCTTGAGGGGAATCAGAGCCTGCTCCTTCCCCTGGCCGTCCCCAGGATCTGGCCATGCAGAGTGAGACCAGGGCAGGAGCTGAGCCAAGGCCCCCGAGCTGCTCAAATGCCACCAGGGCCGTTGTTATCTGGATGCTTCCCCATGGTGACAGGAGCAAATGAGGGAGAGAACTGAGAAAAGCACAGAGGCTTTTGACAGGACTGTCAGCGCGCCGAGTGAGCGCTAACAAGGACAAGTGTGGGCTCTTTAAACAAATCACTGTCATGTTGCAGGCAGATCGTTGTTTAACGGAGGCACCGCAAGTCACCAGAAAAGGTTAACGCACGAATGGAAGGCTCAGTCCTAGGGAAGGTGACACGGCTGGGCAGCGGGGATGGATCGTTGCCTCCCTGCTCCTGGCTGCCTGAGCTCTGGAGCCAGCAGTCCTGAGCTCCCCAGGGACCACCCAGTGCCCCAGTGCCTGGTGCTGGGCAGGATTGGTGCTGGCAGGGGGCACACGTGCAGGAGATGCACCCATCCCCTGCTCTGCACCACTGAGGGGCTGGAGAAAAGGCTTGGAGCAAGACACCAGCATTCAAACAGAAGCAGGAACCTGCAAGAACACCCATGGGATGCTCCAGGGATGTGAGCCAGGCAGCTCTGGGGAGGACGCCCTGCCCAGCAGGCTCTGAGCCCCCCCGACCTGGAGCAGGAGTCTTCTCTGGCTGTGCTGGGTGCACACCTGGCCAGGATCCATCGCTTGGAAAGCCTCAGGTGGCTTCCACACCAGGAGCTCACCAGCCCCTTGGTGGGGACTACAGGACCAAGGGCTTGGGGGGGCAAGAGGGGGTCACCCGGTCCTGCTCCATCCACCCCAACACAGGTGGCAGAAGGGGAGATGTGCCACACCAGCAGCAGCAGGTTGAGGTGGGCTGTTGCAAACCCAGCCCTGTGCACTCCCCCCCAGAGCTCACCAGGAGGATGAGGGAGGCTCTGCCCTGCACATGGCCAAGGCTCAGCCTGGTGCCTCCACAGGGCGCTGGAGGAAGACCCGAGGGAGCAGCAGGGCCCTCCGAGCAGCCTTCCCACCCACCAGGATCCCAGGCAGAGAAAACCTCCCCGTAGCAGGAGCCATCACTCTCTCCAAAGTGCAAGGAATGAAATGAGTGAGGCTGCTCGCTGACACCCAGGGTCACCGCATGCAATTCATGAGGAGCCGCTCGCCGCGCGGAGCCGAATGTTCCTGCGTATGAAAATCGTATGCCAAGGTCACGCCAGCAGTCCCAGCTCCGACCTTAGCTCTCTGCTCACGCGCAAGCCATTAGGCAAGGAAATATATAACAAACAGCCCCCAAAGATCCTAAGGGCCCTACACAGCTCCTACAATGCCTAGCAAGGCTTCTCTATCCATCACGTAGCGTCTCCCAGAGCAGTGCATCAAACTTTAATATCCTACTCTTAGTCACACAAAGGCTGTAACAAGCCTGGCCTTTCATGCTACACAATCCACCAAATCAAAGGCTCTCTGACAGAGCAGCGCACCTGAATATAATCTTTCTCTCTCATCTAAATCTCATCTGTTTCAGGGCTCTGCACACCCCTCATCGCTGCGATACGCATCGGCGTTGCCAAACAGCCCGTTCTCCTACTGCGTGAAACAATCGGGCATGTTTCTAATTAGACAAACGTCATTAGTCGGGAGGCTGGTGAGGGGGAGATGAAGGAAAGCCCCACGCGAGAGCGGAGCCGAGCCCACCCTGCTCCCGCAGCCGCTGCTGGGGGCTCCGCTGCTGCCGGGCACGGTGCTGTGGGGACGCTGTGTGCTCTGCCCTGATTTCCAAAGCCAAAAAGCTCTTGGGTGAAAAATGTCAGAGGGAACGAGGGGATGAAAAATAGAGGCAAACAGAGGATGTGAAGGAAACGCCTTCAGAGTGGCTGTGAATGGTAAATTCCCAGAAGGCAGGGGCTTCACTGCTCAGAGGGGGTTGAACAGAGTGGCCACACCAGGTACGCTGCCCTGCAGGAGAGGTGTGATGATGAGCCAGACAAGGGCTTTGCAGCGTGTCATGGCATGCAGCACACATACATGTCACCCCACAAACCCTGGAGCGGGAGCAGGGAAGGGGATGGAAAGGGGTGAGAGCGTTGCTTGTGGTCAGGGTGTCCCAATGCAGGGGGCCCTGTGCCAGAGGGGCAGCTTCCAGCTCCTGCCTCCCCAGTGCCCACGGGTGAAGCAGGTTGAGAAGCAAGAGGCTGTGAAGCCAGGGTGCTGTGCAGGTCCTGCAGGGCACGGCTGGAAGAGCAGAGCATGTCCTGTGCTTGGGCACGGGGCAGAAGGGACAGAAGCAGCAGGACTGGGGCAGTGCTGGGGAGCAGGGTGGGTAAGGTCCTTAACCTGCATCCCTCCCCATCTGGGTGCCCACAGCTCCTCTCCTCACTGGATGCACCCATAGTGCAGCCTGCAGCTGCAGAGGGATGCCAATAATCACCATTCCCTGCTTCCCTTCCCACAGCCATCCACCTCCAGGAGCATCGTGGCTTTCTGTGTCACTTCTCCAAGAGAAGCTCACCTCCCTCTTGCCTGGGACATTTCCCAGCTCAGACGGGCTCCAGTTCTTGCCCTGAAGCGCAGCCTTGGTACCAGGACGGGCAGCACCCAGCCCCATGGCACTGGCCTCGGAGAGTTTCAGGGGTGAGGGAGGATGCAGGAAACCTGACAAAGAGCAGCCGAGTGGAGCAAAAAGAGCAGCTGGAGCTGGCACCACCTCCCGTGGTGCTTCCAAGCCATGTCCCCCCGGGGGCCATGCGGACACCTCTGGGAGCGGGGCCTGGGCGCCTGCTGTGGCTGGGAGAGGAGAGCAAAGGGACCTTGGGAAGCTAGGGGGGTGCAGCCTGCACAGCAGGGACAGACCCGGCCTCTGCAAGCAGACCCCATGACCTGCAGTGGCCCAGGGTGGCCACAGAGCCCTGCAGGGGGCCACCAGCTCCAGCTGCCCACCAGCACAGCCTGGGGTCAGCAGGAACCAACGCTGGAGACCTCAGTGCTGCAGGAGGCTCTGGGTGGTAAATCCCCAAATCCTCAGTCTCCTCTGCATCCCTGGAAGGTGGAGAAGACCTTCCCCAAGGGGACACGTGTGGTGAAGCACAAAGGGAGCTGGAGGGGATCCAGAGCCCCACTGGAGTTGGAATGAAGCCCCGAGACCAGCCCTGGGTCCCAGCAGGGGTGCACTTGGGCTAACACCAGTCCCACATGGGGTCACCAGCCCCATCACACAGCTGTGGTGCACCACCGTGTCCCCTTGGTGTGCCCTGGCCACAGGGAGGTGTCCTGCATGGAGCCTGGGTGAGGGAAAACCGTGTCCCCCCCAGCGCCCAGCCATCGGGTGTCTCCTCGCGGGGAGCAGGAGCGCGAGCCCTGCAGCAGCCTGTAGCAGGAGCTGCGTGCTCATATGGGAAGGAGACCTAATGAGGTGCTTTATTAATTGCTTTGTGAACTTTCTCTTTAATGATTCTCCCCGCTACTCCCTCTAGTTAAAGCTAATGGCCTGTAGCGTGTTCAGCAGATGGATTACCCATTGGTGCCCAGGCAGCTGGGCCAGCTGGTGGAGGGGTGCGTGGGGGCTGCCAGCGAGCCAGGGACATCACCCACTGCTCCCTGCTGTCCCAAGGGGACCCCAGGGGCTTTGCAGGGCCCCCAGGACTGAATGGGACCATGCCCATGCAGGTGGTGCAGCAGCCTGGGGCATTGGTGGTGGTACCAGCTTCTCCTGGTGATGGAGCAGGAGGGATTCCTACAGGGGGACTGCTGGGCTTGGCTGCCCTAGGGCATGGGGGCGGCTGTTTGGGTGGGCTGGGTGCGTGCTGCAGTGCAGCTTTTCCTTCTTCACCTCTGCACAAGGCAGAGCCAGGTCTGGAGAAGCCCCCTCTGTGAGCAGGAGCCGCAGCCTGCAATCAGCAGGGCACCCCATGGCAGCGGGCAGCCACTTCTCCCCATGCGCTCCCACTTTCCCCTGCCCACCCTCGCCACTCCTCCATCCCGTTCCTCTCCGCAGCTGCTGACATGACTCCTGGATGTGAAGCAGATGGTATTGTTTCCTCCTGCAGCTGGAATTTTGCTGTGTGCCTTGCCCTGGATGGGCTGGCCGTGGCCCCAGCCACCCTCACCCCTCTGTTTTCACCACGAAGCCCCCACAGGGGCGGTGCCGGAGCTCCCCCAGCCCGCTGCTGGCTGGGCTCTGCCCCTGGCAGCAAATTTCCCCGGCTGCACTCTCCTGACCCCAGCCCTGCGTCTATTACACGCTCCTTTGATGCGATGCAGTCCCAGGCAATTAGCCCAGCCGTTATCCCGCTGCCTGTCCCGGCCCCACTCTGGCGCCTTGCTGGCATGCACCGGGTCCCATTCCTGGGGGCTCCCCCACGCAGCCCGTGCCATCGCTCTGGTCAGCACCCATAGCACGGTGGGTGGGTTTTTAAAAGGTTTTAAGCTTTTCTTGGTCTGACACCACCAGCTCAG